ATTCACAAGGGCGGGGAGAGAGTGTTCGAAAACACCTGCGGAGCTGCAGCTGCACTCCACTCTACTACTGGTACTCCCCCCCCCCCTTCCCCTCACCACACACACGCGCGGTGCTCTGCGGATGCTGCAGTATCACAGGGGGTGGCGCCTAGCAGGCAGGGTTACCATATCGTTGCAGAGCAAGCGCGCACTCTGATATCCTCTATGATGAACACGCCCACCTCCCCTCTGTCCCAATCTCTGTTCCGGCTGTGCGCCGCGGGGGGCGCGGGGGAGGATAGAGTGGTCGGGGTTGCTTCCGCGGCCAGGTGCGCAGGTGCGCGCCAGATGCACGGCCAGGTGCTGGCCACGCACCCGACCGTCATTATGCAGGCCGAAAACAAACCGCAGCCACGCGCGCCCCGCCAGGCGCAGGCAGTGGGCGTAGTAGGAAAAGGCTGGCTGCGCGCGGATGTGCGCCGCTGTGAGAGGGGAGGGGTGCGTCGGCGCGTCGGCCTCGTCAGCGAGTGCGAAGGAAGCTTCCCGAGATATGTTTTCCTTTAAATCTGATATTTTACCCGTTGAGTTTTAATTTTGTGTCAATTTTCTGAGAATGCAAAAATTTGTATGATTGAAATTTCCTGATACGAGAGACTGATGATCATCACAACATACACACGAGTACATAGAGTCGCACGAAGTATTCGGTCTTGTTCTAATGGTTTGACTAATAAATCGAAGTCCAACCAAAAGCCTACTTCTCTTTCAACAACAGCGCATATAAGACGTGCATAATACAGCATGCGATACCATCAATGAGGTAAATGTTTTCACTCTGCGCTATTTGCTTTGCAGGCAACGTGTTCGTGATCGCCGCCATCCTCCTGGAGCGCAACCTGCAAAGCGTGGCCAACTACCTGATCGTCTCGCTGGCCGTGGCGGACCTCATGGTGGCGTGCCTCGTCATGCCGTTGGGCGCAGTGTACGAGGTGAGCCTTCCACCCTCCTCCACTCTCTCTCGCTCTCCCTTTGTTTGCACCGATCGCCCTAGTGCGTGAGGCAGCACCTCTCTGGCACTCTGTGGTGTCTGCCGTGGTCCAACACATTCCGGGTTGCCTCAACTTCGAACTGATAACACATATTGTTGAGATTAAGTAGCAATGCTGTACGAATTGCCTTGATAAACATAAGATTATAGTGCAGGATGGAACCAGTATGTAACGTGGATAGGGAGGGGGGATTTTGTCTGATATTCGGCTGAGTTAACCTGGCCCTAGAAGTGCACAGCACACCGCCGGTGTACGCGTCCTCTGGGGAGTCGTTGATTTAGTTACAGGAGGCCCAATGCGACACTACACTCTGAATACTCATGCATTTCGTTGGACGTACCGGGTGTTTCAGAGCGGGCGGCGCGTTGTTACAGGTTTGCCTACTCCCCCTTCGCCCGCAAGGACTCATGCCGTAGTCTTGTCTCTGGCTCGGGAGAGTATATGCAATTTCGCAGCACTGGTCCGCTCTGGCACACCAAGCAATGTACTCGTTTTCCGGTAGGGGTTCCCAACGACTTTGTTTCTATATTTATCTGATGCCTAGAGATCGAGGGGGAAATCACTTGTGAAAAAGTTTGTACACCTCCCCCTGAAGTAATTCGTACACCTTCCCCTGAAATAGTTCGAAATAAAGACGAAATGAAGCGAAACAAACCCGAAAGAGACGCGAAGTAGTTGGTAAAATAGTCGTGAAATACCCCCGAAATACCGCGAGATACCCCGAAATAATCCGAAATAACCGTGAAATACCCGAAAAGAATGATAATATCACACAATAGTCGCACGCTGTGAACCCAAGTGATATACTCCTCGCCAGAGATGGGAAACATAAAATTTCGCGGTCAGCCTTGTGCATTAGCTTGCCTGGGTTTATAGTTGTCCAGCAAGTATTTCTGTTCGCTGAGCCTCTGCCCAGTGCCTGATCCCCGCCGTGTCCCACCTCGGCCCTCCCTTGCCGCCGCCGCGCCCTGTTTGGCACCGCAGGTTCACAGCAGCGGCGGCGGTAGCGGCTGGCCACAAAGTTTGCGGTGGATTGCATCACCAGTCTGCAGTTAGTTGTTTGCGGCCGTTAGGTCACCCACCAGCCAGCGCCATGGGCCGAGCCACGGGCTGTAACGAGCACTGGGCAAGGGCCGCCCATCCCGGCCTAGCCCAGCACGGCTGCCCTGGCTCCGGGTCCCCTGGGAAAGCACAGCACTGGCCTGCTAGAAACACAACCCGGGAACGTTATACGATTAATATCGGACTTTACTTCGCTTGGCGTTCGCTGGCTTGGCCGTCTGAAAGTTGTGCGTGTGTTTGCTGTGTGCTTGCATCCAAAGGAATAACAGCAAGCGTGTGCGGGTACTGGTACTGCCTACTTGGAGTATACTACTGCGCGCCTTCAACAAATGTCAGTACTTTTGTATTAGCGCTGCCGTGCAAATAAAATAACAACTTATTTGCTCACTTTCGTTTATTTTTGTATTAGCGCTGCCGTGCAAATAAAATAACAATTTATTTGCTCACTTTCGTTTCTCACGGGAATGTATCCCGCCCGCACAGCACGTGAGACTTGACCTTGCATATCGCCCCGTTATGTTCAGATTGCGCGCTAATTGACCGTGAGGCGCCCTCAATGGGCCCTTTATCTTATGGAGACGGCAACGTAACGTGATATGAGGCGCTGCGCGCCGTTAGAGCCCAGGCCCGGTCGTGTCGGGTGACTGAGGTATGGGCCGAGTGGGACCGTGGGGGTGGGCACCTCTGGTGGGCACCGCGTCGTGCGGGAACCCCAGTGTCGCAAGTCTGATTATTCCATGTATTTAATTTGGTTCTGCAGTGGCGATAGCGACGCATCGCAGTGCAGAAGATAGCGTTCGCATAGGCTTAGACCGGGGTACTGCTACAGTCTACATTCATATCCTTTCGCAAAATTGCCCAAAAGTCGTATCACTGTAAAAAAACGGGCGTAATTTTATCCGTCAAGTAGTGGGTAAATTTCACCCCGTGGCCTTGAAAACTATGTTGCCAATCAATGGACTGGGAAATCTTTACTCTCCACCCGCTCGGTAAAGTTATTTGCACAATAACTGGTAAAATTTACGTATGTTCAGAGAAAATTACTTTTTGAACTTTTTTTGGTAGTTTACATATCCACATGGCAATTTACATATCCACATGGTAAATTTACATTTCATATGATGTCGAAAATTGCTGGGTGCTTCGGGAGATGCCAGTTACACATCCAAATGGTAATTTTAGGAAGCACTGGATTGGTGTTTACATGCCATAGGATTCCTGACCCGCGGCAGACTATCGAATGCAAGAGCGAGTCGTGGGTCTTAGATGAAAGTCCGTGTCGCCCACCTGGTCACCGTTGAAAGCAAAGACAATCTATAGATGTAAGCAGACCTCGTTCCTTTGAGAAGACATCATCTATCGGCGCGTCCCCTCCCAGAGGTAGCCGATGGGTGAGGGGTAGCGTGCGCGCTCCCGAGCTCGGAGGTTACGGGTTCTACTCCCATCAGGTCTAACAGATATTTCGGTATATCGGCAAGCACCAGCCGCTCTTAGCAGTTGAGAGGGGAACGCCAACAGGTTGGGAACCTGCATATCGTCATTTTTTTCTTCTTACTAACTGATCTACTTTTGCCCGTGCAAATTTACCATGTGGATAGGGACATGCGGTCTTACCTATCCAAAATTAAAATTACCACTTGGATACGCAAACGTCTAGAATTTATACAAATGGAAGATTACCATGTGGATACGCAAAAGCTTTCCCCCTATCCATGTGCATGGAATTTTCCCATGCTATGGATAGCGAAATTAGTCAGTAATTGGACCGGGAAATTTACTCATTGCGGCCAGGGAAAGGGGCGTTTACTCATCCACCTGCGCAATTTTGCCCTGAAAATTTCTTACAGTGAATGTTTACTGTAGGAAATAATGCTGTTATTCAAGAATAAATTGTTAAGTTTTTCACTGAATTTTCTCGTTAAATAACAACACTCTGCTATGTAACAGCAATGTTTGTTCGGGTAAAGGTAGAGCGTTTGATTTATTAAAGTATACAATGCCACTAAACATCTAGCTCTTTCCCCAAAAGAGTTGACACTCTGTGTAAACTGCGAAACGAACCCCTGAAAAAGAACTATAAATTACATATCCTATTGTGAATAAAGTAATAAACAATTTGAAAAATTTAGTTGGCAATTCGTGTGGAAATGTTCCGCCGTTGTGCTTTACAATGGTAAATTATACCTATTGGGTGGGGCCGAGGAAATAACCCCTATATGCCAAGTGTACATCCCTAATTTTCCACAATTACAACTCTCCCCCTTCGCCCGCAAGGACTCATGCCGTAGTCTTGTCTCTGGCTCGGGAGAGTATATGCAATTTCGCAGCACTGGTCCGCTCTGGCACACCA